GCCGTCACTGCCCTATACCATTTCAGATAAATTTTTATCCAATCTCTTCCTAAAAACCTCCAGTGTTGGGGCACCCACAACTTCTGGTGGCAAGCTGTTCCACTGGTTAATTGTCCTCACTGTTAGGAAGTGTCTCCTTAAGTTCCAGGTTGCTTCTCTCCTTGATTAGTTTCCACCCATTTTTTGTCTTACTCTCGGGTGCTTTGAAGAATAGTTTGACTCCCTCTTCTTTGTAGCAACCCCTGAGATATTGGAAGGCTGGTATCACGTCTCCCCTAGTCCTTCTCTTCATCAAACTAGACATACCCAGTTCCTGCAACCGTTCTTCATATGTTTTATCCTCCAGTCCCCTCATCCTCTTTGTTGCTCTTCTCTGCACTCTTTCCAGAGTCTCCACATCTTTTTTACAAAATGGCGTCCAAAATTGGATGCAGGATTCCAAGTGTGACCTTACCAAAGCATTATAAAGTGGTATTAACACGTCAAGTGATTTTGATTCTATCCCTCTGTTGATGCAGCCTAGAACTGTGTTGGCTTTTTTGGCAGCTGCCGCACACAGCTGGCTCCTACCTAAATGGTTGTCCACTAGGACTCCAAGATCCCTCTCACAGTTACTACTACTGAGCGAGATACCACCAATTCCATACTTGTGCATTTCAAAGATATCAAACTCCCTAGCCGTAGGAATTCCATCTCCGTTCTTTTCCATGAGTCAAACTGGAAATCCTGTTTTTTCCATCGGAGGGGGGTAGCCAGGCTCTCTTCCCTCCGTGCCCTCTGTCTGTTTCCGTCTGTGAATTATTTCCTTCCCATCTTGCGCTGAAAAAGCTTTGACATCTGCGTTACAACCCAGCCTTAATTGGCCAAGCTGTTGCGGCAACACCGTGCCAGTTCATCATTTCGGAATCTGGCGGTGACGAAGAAGGAACAATATTCTCCCGGCGGCGGTCCGAGAGGAGAGAGAGAGCTCTTGGGGAGGCCGACTGTAACCTCAAATGGTCGTTTTAAGTGAACGTCCGTAAGTCGAGGACTGACTGTATGGGGAAAGATTGAAGGAACTCCTAACAGTGAGGACAATGGATCGGTGGGACGGAAGTTGCCTCCAGAAGTTGTGGGTGCCTCCGTCACTGGAGGGTTTTAAGGACTGGACAGCCACTTGACTGAAATGGTATATGGTCAGGATGGCTAACCTTTTTGCCATCGCGTGCCAAAAGTGAGCGGGTGCGCATGTGCCCACTCATCATTCTATGCGCCCCGCCCTCATGCATGTGTGCACGACCCCACCCATGCTTCCCCACTTTTGGCACAGTGGGCCCGGTAGGCCCGTTTTTCGCCCTTCCCAGGCTCCAGAGCCTTTCTAGGAGCCTGGGGAGGGCGAAAACTGCCTTCCCCACCCCCCTCAGAGGCCCTCTGGAGGCTGGAAATGGCCTGTTTGCCGACTTCCAGTGGGCCCAAAAATCAGCTGACCAGCGTGCACATGTGCACCAGAGCTGAGCTCGCGTGCCCACCGATATGGCTGTGTGCGCCACCTATGGCACGCATGTCATAGGTTCGCCGTCACGGGGATAGGGCCTCCTGCTTGAGCAGGGGGTTGGACTAGAAGACCTCCAAGGTCCCTTCCACCTCTATTCCGATTGATTCTGGGGAGAGCAATAGCATTAAGTCTTATACACCAGCTCCATAATAATCTACAGCAGGGGTCTCCAACCTTGGCAACTTTAAAACTTGTGGACTTCAACTCCCAGAGTTCCTCAGCCAGCAACGCTGGTCCACCAAGCTGGCAACTTTAAGTTGCCAAGGTTGGAAACCCCTGATCTACAGCCCACTCTAAGCAGTTTACAGAGTCAGCCTCTTGCCCCCACAACTATCTGGCACTTCATTTTACCGACCTCGGAAGGATGGAAAGCTGAAGACAACTTTGAGCCGGTCGGAATCGAACTCCTGGCAGTGAAATTCGCCTGCAATACTCCATTCTCACCACTGCTCGTTAAAAACCACGGGAGATTGAAAGGGGGGGGGAAATTAATGCGGTGGGATAGAATCCGATCGACTTTGCTTGTCAGAAGGAGATCACATGACCCCGGGACGAAGCAACCGTCGTAAATACAAGTCAGCTGCCAAGAGGCTGAATTTTTGACCCTGGGGAACGCTGCGACGGTCGTGTGAAAAAGAGTCATAGATCACTGGTTTCAGTGTCGTCGTATCGTCAAACAGACACTAAATGAGCTGTTGTAATCAAGGACTACCTATACTATAAAGGATGCCAGATAGACAGTGAAAATCCACTCGCCATTATTCAGAACGTGGGACACAGAACGAGAGACATGCAGCAAAGGAAGGCCAAATCTGGACAAATGTTAAGAGAAAAATATAGCATCTGCAGTGATTCACTTAACAATTATGGCAAGAGGGGTCGTAAAATGGGGCCAACTCGCTCAACAACTATCTTGCTCGGCAGTGGAAATTTTGGGGGCTCGGTTTTGATCGTAAGCTGAACATTATCTGTGCTAAGAACATTTTACAAATATAACACTTCCGCTGCAATTTCCAAACGTACAAATTCTTAATACTTTCCAAAAAAAACCTCAAGTGCCTGGTTCATTTTTCTTTGTGGTTAAGACAAAACATTTTTTTTAAAAAAATGTTATGTACGAGGCACTGCCCCTGCACTCTTGCCCGCCATCTATTCATTTGAGTTTAGATATTTTTGATTAATAGAATAAAATACAAAAGCAAATAGAGAGACAGAGTGGGGGGAGAAGGGGAAAGAGAAGTGAATTTTTAAAAAAGTGACTTTTGACTCTCTCTGTTGCAGTAAAATAAAGCATTAACATCCAACCACGACTTTTTGACTTTTCCATATTATAATAAACCATTTCTATAAAAACAATTCAACCTGATCAGTAAAACCCATAATCAAAGTCTCATTTTCTTTTTGCCCCTCACCTCGAGCGCAAAGTCCAGAAGTGGACTGTGTCTCGATGTGGCAACGAAAGTACTTATATTCTTTTCTTTAATCTTTGCCAGCCATGTTATTTATGATATAATTGGATTTCAAAAGATGAGAAGATAACCTTGGCAAGACGTTCTGTTCAGTCAACACGAACTTTCAGAGAAAGACCTAAGGATCTGGACACGCGGAACAAATTCCTAATGATCATAAAATGCAATCCTTATTGGATGGAAAAATATTTTACAGACCGGTCCGGCCAGCGATTTCTGTGCAAATAAAAATAAAAATTTTTAAAAAAAGAGAGCAAGCATTCTTGCAGAAAATACACCGCAAAATTTCCACCACGACACCAGGAGGATCTTAATGCCAGACAAGCACCCTGCGACAGATATCTATTGACAGAGGAGACGGCTTTATCACGCTGAATGCTTTCTAATTTGCTAAGAAAGTCTTCGGAATTGCCACTTTATGTAGGGTAATTTGCAAGGCGCCCTCATCTTGCTGGATTTGCAATCAGAAAGCTCACCAACGCTGATGTTTTATTGATTACATGCAAATATTTCTTCACAGGCCTGTCCAAGAAATCAATGCTCTCTACACCAAGCCAATGAATATTTCTCAAGGCGCTTAAATGGCTGAATTCTTTTAAAATAAAAAAAGGGAGAAAATGCCAAGGAGAAGGAAGTCCAATCGAGGCCATCAGTACTACAGGTAGTCCCTCAAGTTACGGCCACAAATGAGCCCAATGTTTATGTTGCTAGGTGGAATATTTGTTAAGCGTGCTTTGCCCCATTTTTCTCGCCACTGTTGTCAAGAGAATTATTCCAGTTGTTAGGTTAATAACACGGTCGTTAAGTAAATCTGGCTTTCCCCATTGACTTTGTTCGTCAGAAGGTCGCAAAAAAGGATCACGGGACACTGCGACCGTCATAAATAGGAGTCAGTTCCAAAAGTCTGGATTTTGATCATGTGACTTTGGGGATGTTGCAACGGTCGTTAAGTGAACGAAAAGCGTTCACAAGTCACTTTTTTTAATGCCGTTGTAATGGTCACTAAATGAACTGTTGTAAGTGAAGGACTTACAGGCATTTTCTCAGCTGCTGTTCGAAGTCACAACAGCACTGCAGAAAGTGGCTTATGACCAATCCTCCCACTTACGACCAGCACAGCATCTCCATGGTCACATGATCAAAATTCAGAACTGTGGCAAGCGACTCATATTTATGACGGTTGCAGGGTCCCCGGGGGGGTCATGTGATCCCCTTTTGTGGCCTTCTGACAAGTAAAGTCAATGAGGAAGTCAGATTCACTTAACAATCGTGTTACTCACTTAACAAGTGCAGAATTCACTTAACAACTGAGGCAAGGAAGGTCGTAAAATGATCAAAATTGGGGCGCTGGGCAACAGACTCGTATTTACGACAGTTGCAGGATCCAGGGGGTCCCTGAAAAGCAAAGTCAATGGGGAAACCAGATTCATTTATCAACGGTGTTACTAATTTAACCGCTGCAGTGATTCACTCAACCACCGTGGCAAGAAAAGTCGTAAAATGAGGCAAAACTCACACGACAAATCTCTCGCTTAGCAACAGAAATTTTGGGCTCTCCACGGTGGCCGTAATTCGAGGACTACCGGTCATTTATAAATGCCATTTTATCTTGCTGGGTTTTTTTTTTTCCCAAAAGCCAATTTGCAGAATTTGCAGCTTTTTCGGGGCAAAGCTATCGAGAACCTGACTCACTTCCAGAGTCAAAAAAAAACAAAAACCCTCAAATCATTTCGGATGCTTCGTCTCCCATCTTTGTTAAAAAAAGGGCCGGGATTTGCAACTTGGGGAAAACATGCATTGTGTTAGTTGCAGTTATAACTTCCAGCTGTGGCGAGGCCTTCACGAAGTTTGAAGGCAGGAAATCTTAAAAGGAAATTCCATCAGTTCCTGGCGTTTTGTAACCCAAACTGTTGTTCCAAAAAGGAGCTCTGAGAAAGACAAGGAAAGGAAAAAAAAAAAATGAAGGAAAAAAGAAAACGTTGCTGTTAACTTTTTACCTCATGTCTTCGAGTAAGTCGCATTCTGCCTGATGCTTTGCTTGAAGTTTTGTCATCTGCTCGGCCTGGATGAGTTTCAGCTCTTGAGTGATTTTCACCTAAAAGAGAAGAAAAATATAATTTTTTTTAATAATTATTTTCTTAAACATCTTTCTTGTTTAATACTATAATTGCTGTAAGTCGGGGTTTCCCAACCTTGGCCACGTTAAGACGCCTGGACTTCAACTCCCAGAATTCCCCAGCCAGTCATGGACTTCAACTCCCAGAATTCCCCAGCCAGTCATGGACTTCAACTCCCAGAATTCTCCAGCCAGCCATGGACTTCAACTCCCAGAATTCCCCAGCCAGCCATGGACTTCAACTCCCAGAATCCCCCAGCCAGCCATGGACTTCAACTCCCAGAATTCCCCAGCCAGCCATGGACTTCAACTCCCAGAATTCCCCAGCCAGCCATGGACTTCAACTCCCAGAATCCACCAGCCAGCCATGGACTTCAACTCCCAGAATCCCCCAGCCAGCCATGGACTTCAACTCCCAGAATTCCCCAGCCAGCCATGGACTTCAACTCCCAGAATTCCCCAGCCAGCCATGGCTGGCTGGGGAATTCTGGGAGTTGAAGTCCAGGTGTCTTAATGTGGCTAAGATTGGGAATCCTTGTGTGTTGTGATAGGTCTTTACATCTACACTTACCACAATTGGGGCGAGAATTCCCATCACTAAACAAAGGAATCAACCTGAATTTACTACCTTTTTTATGGCCTTTAAGGAAATCATGCGGTTGTTAAGTGAATTCAGCTTCTTTTGATCAGTCTGGAAACTGCTTTGAAGCTCGTAAATGGGGATCACATAACCCCACATAATTGGGGGGTGGGGGTGTTACTTGGAACCCTGACAGCCGGGACGATGCGACTGTGGTATAAATGCACACCCATTTGCCAAGGGCCTGCATTTTGATCATGTGGCCGTGGGGACGTCGTAATTGCGAGGACTGGTTGCAAGTTACTTTATTTCAGCGCAGTTGCAATATCGCTCGCTATAAGAATGGTTGTAAGTCGAGGACTGCCCGCAGTGGCTAAATATAGAATAGAATAGAAAATAGAATAGAATAGAACAGAACAGAACAGAACAGAATAGAATAGAATAGAAAAAAGTGTAGAGTAGAGTAGAGTAGAGTAGAGTAGAGTAGAATAGAATAGAATAGAATAGAATAGAATAGAATAGAATAGAATAGAATAGAATAGAATAGAATAGAATAGAAAAAAGTGTAGAGTAGAATAGAATAGAATAGAATAGAATAGAATAGAATAGAATATAGTGTAGAGTACAATAGAATAGAATAGAACAGAATAGAATAGAAAAAAGTGTAGAGTAGAGTAGAATAGAATAGAATAGAAAATAGTGTAGAGTAGAGTAGAATAGAATAGAAAATAGTGTAGAGTAGAGTAGAGTAGAGTAGAATAGAATAGAAAGTAGAGTTGAGTTGAGTTGAGTTGAGTAGAATAGAATAGAATAGAATAGTACAGATAGCCCTCGACTTACAACGGTTCATGACATGACCAGAGTTACGACAGTAATTAAAAATGTGACTTAATGTAAGTGTGATTTTTCACACTTACAACCAATGGCAGCTTCTCCATGGTCGCGTAATCAAAATTCAGATACTTTAATTGATTCATATTTACGACAGTCGCAATGTCCCAAAGTCCTAGGTTTCCCCCTTTTGCGACCTCCTGACATGCAAAGTCAATGGGGGAGCCAGATTCACTTAACAACCGGGTTCCTAACTTAACAACCGCAAGTTGATTCGCTTAACAACGGCAGCGCGAAAGGTGGTTAAAATCGGGCAAAATTCACTTAACAAATGTTTCGCTGAGCAGCGTAAAATTTTTGGTCATAAACCGAGGACTACCTGCACTACGATTCCACTAGCTTGCAACCGGATTGCCATGACGTAGCTTTCTCAAAAGACAGAAAGCGCCACTTGTTTTATGCCAACGTAATTTCGGAACGAGAAAACGGTTTTTATGCTAAGAGCCTTGGTAGCGCAGCAGACTAAAAGCCTGTTATTAACATTCAGCTGCCTGCAATTACTGCGAGTTCAAATCTCACCAGGCTCAAGGTTGACTCAGCCTTCCATCCTTCGAGGTAGGTAAAATGAGGACCCGGATTGTGGGGGCAATAAGCTGACTTTGTATAAAAAAGAACACCGCTTGGGGGGCCAAAAGCCCTACTAAGCAGGTATATACAAAAGGATGAAGGCTATTGCTTAACGCATTGTAAGCCGCCCTGAGTCTCCGGAGAAGGGCGGCATATAAATCGAAACCAATCTCCCCTTATAGAACGACCTGAGATGCAAACTTTCCTGCATTATGAATGATATCGCGAGCAACGTTCGCAAATAATCAAAATACCTCTGCGGAAAAGTCACCTTATACTCAGGTGACCCCTGCATCGGACGAAGCCAGCCTCCGCCAAAAAGGAACAACTCGGCAATAATTCCAGCGGGCAGGAAACACAACTTTTAAAAGTTTCCCGAGCGCATTTAAAAAAAAAAAAAAAAAGGGCAGATCGATAGAAAGAAAAGAGAAACTTTCCTCATCTCGGGCGTTTGCTAGAGTCAACCATCAAGACGCCGTTTTTAAGTTATTTGAAGGTTAAAAGTTTAAATATTAATATTCACCACTTCGAAGGGACCTCAGTTTAAACGCTGAAAAGGGTTAAATGAACTCATGGAAGCCGCTTGAAAATCAAGATACAGAAGTGAAGGGGAAAATGGGAAAAAAAATCCCTCCAAGAGCTAATAGGAACAAGGAGCCGTAATGGATTCACAGTAGGGAAAGCCACGCTAGTATATAGTAGAGGGGGGGAAAATCTTAAGGACTAGCTCCTTTTCCAATTACGGTACCTCATTTTATTAACAGGCAGAAGCTTTCCTCCACCCACTGGCCTTTTCCAGCCCTGAGGAGCTGCCTTTTAATTAAGTGTGTTAATTGGAAAAATATTCATCAGACACCTTCACTGATTTTTTTTGCAAGGAGCTCATGAAGCACAGGTAGTCCTCGACTTATGGCCGCAATGGGGCCCCAAAATTTTTGCTGCTAAGCAAGGCAGTTATTCCAAGTCTTGACCCATTTTGCCACCTTTTCTTGCCACTGTTGTTAAGCGAAACACTCCAGTTAAGTGAATCACGCTTCCCCATTGACTCTGCTTGTCAGGTGGTCGCAAAAAGGGATAAATACGTCATAAATACGAGTCAGTTGCCAAGCCTCTGAATTTTGATCACATGACTATTGGGGGGGTGGGGGGAAATGCTACAAAGGTCATTAAATGTAAAAAAACAACAACCGTAAGTTACTTTTTTCAGTGCCGTTGCAACTTTGGTCCTTAAATGAATGGTTATAAGTCGAGGACTACCTGCGATCCATTAAGTACAGAAATGCGCCTTGTTCCCCGGAATGAAAATGCCCATTTTTTAACAGAGTTGTTGTGTGATCCTCTGCTCTTTTTTTCCACCCCCCACCGATCAAGGAAAACTTTCTGGTTCACCAGGTGGAAAAACTCCAGGTTTCAATCAGATCTCCGGGATCACGTCGCGGGAATCCGTATTAGAAAATTGCTCTAACAAATGGCATTTTTTAAAACTTTTTTTCACCCCTACGAATAAGAGGGCTGCGTTTGCACTGTTCTATATTTAGGAGGGGAAAGCCCAAGTATTTTGTATTCGAAAGAAGATGGAAAATAAAAATTGAGTCATTCAGAAGCCTTCAAACCAGTGTTTTTCAACCTTGGTAGCTTGAAGATGGGTGGACTTCAACTCCCAGAATTCCCCCAGCCAGCAGCGCTGGCTGGGGGATTCTGGGAGTTGAAGTCCACCCATCTTCAAGCTTCCAAGGTTGAGAAACACTGCGTTCACATGTTGTGATTGCTCCCATCACCGGAGGCTTTTAAAAAGACACTGGACAGCCACTTGTCTGCCATGGGATCGGGTCTCCTGATTGAGCGGACGGGTTGGTCTAGAAGACCTCTAAGGTCCCTAGTCCTCAATTTACAACACTTCATTTGGTGATCGTTACCAAAGTTACGGCAGCACCGAAAAGAAAAGCGACACGACAAATTTTCGCCCTAATGACCATTGGCATCCTCCTCCCCTGGTCACGGTGATCAGACGCTCGGCGACTGACTCCTATTTATGCGATCGTTCCTGACAAGCAAAGCCCACGGGGGGTAATCCAGATTCGCTTAACGACCATGTGGCTACCCTTAATAAATGCAATGATGAAGGAAACTCGTCAAGTCGGGGCGAAACTCACTCAAGGAAACGTTTTACGCTCGGCGCCGTAAACTTTGGGCGGTCAACTGTGGTCGTAACTCAAGGACTACCTGTATGGTGTCATCTGCCCTTAGCTCAGCTCCAAAACGATTCCCCCCTCCCCAGGATAAGATACCCCTATTTCTACGGGAAAACCTCCAAACGAAACCGAGAAGTTTTACCCAGCAAGAGCAAAAACCATCTGGGGAAAAAAAAAGAAAGAATTCTCAACAACAACAACCAAAATCTACTCTGTGGTTTTTCTTTTTTTTAACAGAAAGGCTAAAACTTATTTTTTATTTTTCATCCAAACCGCCCAGCATAGAAATTCCCCCCCAAGTAAATCTCATCCTCCTGGTGGGGATCCCCCCACCCCTCTTAAACTCAAGCAGACCATATAAACAAACCAGTGGAATAAACACAACTACCTGTAAACACGGTCAAAACATGGCTTGCCAGCTAAATAAACCCCAATACTGGGCAAGCCAGGATCAGCCTCCTCCTCTTCCTCTTCCTCCTCCCTCCCCATTGAAAAACTCAGCCTTTTGTTGACAAAAATTAAACCTATTTCTCCCCGATGAATTTTAGCCAGGTCTGAACACGCAGGCACACGCTAGTGTGAGTGGCTGCTGCCGTTGTTGTTGTTTTAAACACAGACACACACGTTTATTTTACATTCGGGGCCAAGCCGGGCTGTGGGTTCGAGTTATGCAAGAGACGAGGGCGGGGGGGGGGGGAACTGTCGAAATTGGTTTAATGGATAAATAGACCTCGAGATCTACCTCCCTCCCCAAGGAAAGGTTTGCAAGGGGAAATTGGGGGGGTGGGGTCTCCTGGTTCTTCATGCCTGGGTTCAGCAGCCCTTCCGGAGACCCCCACCCCACGGATTGTCCCTTCTTGCAACTGCTGGCCAGACAGAAGCGTCCTGGCAGGCCTACGTCTCCGTGGCTGGGACCCAACCCCTAAAAATAGCCTCCTTGCATCAAGCCAACCGGACTCTCTCTCCCATCCACACTTTGACCCCGGCCAAGGAACGCAGGCCTTGAAACCTGGGAGGAAAATATGAGTTGGGGGCCTCTTCAGCCAGATCCCCCCCCTCCCCATATTTTTGTCACTTGGCCAGTCGCGCTCTCCTTCTCGGAATCAGCCAACTAGACCTCTACTCCCTCGTCTTCGTGCCTGGCCCAAGCAGGCAGGCTGGCTGGGGATGATGGGTGCTGGAATCCCCCCATCTTTGTAAGCCCCCCCTCAAGAGGTGGGGAAGGCAGCTTGAGCTGAGCCAAGCCTCCTCAAATCTTGGCTGGCCCTACTCCGGAGTAACCCCCGGCTCCTTTCTTGGAGGGAGAGGGGGGTGCCAGGACCACCAATAAAACCACCCCTCCCCAGCAAGCGGCCTCCCATCTCCAATGTCCCCCCATCTTCTTCAACCGGACCCCAAGCAGGCTTGCATTGAACCAAGCAGCCGCAGCATTCCCACAACGGCAGGATCTGTGTCTCCCTGGAGCATGGGAACACCCTGAGCCTCCGGGTTGGGGGGGTTCGGTTTTCTCGGAAGGCATCCTTTCGGATTTTGGGGGGGGGAGGGAGGAGGGTCGGTGGAGCAGCCTCAAGCAAAGCCCATCTTGCAGCCTCCCCTTCCCCGGCGACCCTCCCCAGCCTCTGCAGACCCCGCAAGACCCCCTCCCCGTGCGAGACACGAGTCCTGCAGCCCCCCCCAAGGTCCCCTCCTCCAACCTGCAGCCCCCCCAAACAACCCTCCTCCGCCCTACAGCCCCCTCCTCCTCCTCCATGCAGCCCCCCCAAATCTCCCTCGTCCATGCATCCCAAATCCCTCTTTTCCATGCACCCCACAAAACCCCTCCTCCGCCCTACAGCCCCTCTCCTCCTCCTCCATGCAGCCCCCCCATATCGCCCTCCTCCAGGCAGCCCCCCCATATCGCCCTCCTCCAGGCAGCCCCCAAATCCCCCTCCTCCAGGCAGCCCCCCATATCCCCCTCCTCCAGGCAGCCCCCCAAATCCCCCTCCTCCAGGCAGCCCCCTCATATCCCCCTCCTCGTCCATGCAGCCCCCCAAAAACCCCCTCCTCCGCCCTACAGCCCCCCTCCTCCTCGCAGCCCCCTCCTACAGCCTGCAGCCCCCCAAACCCCCTTCTCGTCCATGCAGCCCCCCAAAACCCCTCCTCCGCCCTACAGCCCCTCTCCTCCTCCTCCATGCAGCTCCACGTCCCCCTCCTCTTACATGCAGCCCCCCAAAAACCCCTCCTCCGCCCTACAGCCCCCCTCCTCCTCGCAAGGCCCCCCCTCCTCCAACCTGCAGCCCCCTTCTGGTCCGTGCAGCCCCCCCAAATACCCCTCCTACAACCTGCAGCCCCCTCCTCCTCCTCTTCCATGCAGCCCCCCTCCCCAAATCCCCCTCCGACGCCCCCCACCCCATCCAGACCCCTCCGCGGAGCTTCCCCGGGCACCCCGCCTCTCCCGATGGCCAGCCGGGTCCTCTCCCCTCCTGGGAAGCCGCCAGAGCCGAGGCTGGACCCGGCATCCCGCTCCTCCGCCGGCGACCCCCCCCCATCCGCGACCCCCGCCGCCTCCCCGCTCACCTTCCTCGGCGGAGGCTGCATGGCGGCGGCGGCGGGGGGCCGCTCTGGGCCTCCACATCAATCCTTCCCCGCCCGGGACGGCAACGGCCAGGCGGGCGCCGAGCGGCGGGGAACGACGCCGGGCCGGGCCGGGCTCCGATGCTGCGGCTGCAGCGGCGCGGGGGCAGACGAGCGGAGGGGCGTGGCCGGGGGGCGTGGCCGGCAGAGGGGGAGGGCGGATCCCTGGAGTCGCCCGGCCTCCTCGCTGCCACGGGGGGGCGGGGGGCGGGGTGAGGGAGGGGGCGTGGCCGCGCGTGCGCGGCGAGGCCTCGTGGGGGGGGTGGGAAAACCGCGCGAGACTTCTTTTCTTGACTCCCGCCCCTCCCGGGGGAAAGAAAAAAAAAAAAAAAGCCCGCGCTTTTTTTTTTTTTTTTACGCGCTTCATCCTCCCTCAGAATCAAACTGGAAAGGGACCTTGGAGGTCTTCTAGTCCAGCCCCCTTTGCTCCGGCAGGGAGAGAAACCCCCCCCCCATGTGCCATTTCAGACAAACGGCTGTCTTATTTTTTTTTTTTTCCTTTTTTTAAAAAAAAAAACTTCCAGTCATGGAGCACCCTACAAACTTCTTGAGGGAAGCTATTCAAAATAACAAAAAAAGAGTGGGGAAGGGACCTTGGAGGTCATCTAGTCCAGCCCCCTTTTCCTCAGGCAGGAGATCCTTACACCGTTTCACACATATTGGCTGCCCGGTTTTCTTCTTTTAAAAAACCTCCGGTGTTGGAGCCCCCACAACTTCCACTGGTTAATAAATCGGAGTCGAAAGCTCTAACGGGATTTTTTTTTTTTCGAATTATCCTTTCAATCCCCACCGGCCTGACTCGCGTCACGTGTGAAAGCTGACCCGCGTCAGTCACCTGAGGGACTTTTTTTTAAAAAAATCCGCCCCGAGACTTTTTTTTAATAATAAAATTCCCCCCCAGCCCTTCCCATTTGCCCCGGGAGTGGAATTAATTTATATACGGTTAATTAGGCTTTATTTTATATTTTTTAATTAAAGACAGCAACGCGAGGTTCTTTTCTCGCTCCGCGATGTCGCTGCGTGACAGGCCGTGCGGAAGGCGGGGCTTGAGGGGAGCCAATCGGAACGGGCGGCACGCAAGCGGGGCCACGCCCCCCTTCCACCGAGACGGCTCCGCCTTCCTATTGGGTGCCGCGCCTCTGGCTGGACGAACGGATTGCGCTCCTAGTCGCTGCTGCCCCCTGGCGGCGACGCGCTGCAGGGGACGGCGTGACGTTTTTTCCCCCCATCCTGCTAAAACAGGCTTGTTTTAATCTTGGTTTGTATAATAAACCACCAATGGCTGAGTTGTTGTGGCCCCTGAAACCCTGAATTGCAAACTACAGCTGTTCTTTCTGTAAGTAAGTGAAACCATAAGCAAGGATATTTCTTGCATTAATTATTTGGCTGTCCATATTTATCACGCCTGCAATTGCAAGACTCTAGAATAGAATAGAATACAATACAATACAATACAATACAATACAATACAATACAATGGAATGGAATGGAATGGAATGGAATGGAATGGAATGGAATGGAATGGAATGGAATGGAATGGAATAGAATAGAATAGAATAGAATAAGAAAGTAGAATAGAATAGAATAGAATAGAATAAGAAAGTAGAATAGAATAGAATAGAATAGAATAAGAAAGTAGAATAGAATAGAATGGAATAGAATAGAGAATGTAGAATGGAGTGGAGTGGAATGGAATGGAATAGAATAGAATAGAATAAGAAAGTAGAATAGAATAGAATAGAATAGAATAGAATAGAATAGAATAGAATAGAATAGAATAGAATAGAATAGAATAGAATAAGAAAGTGGAATGGAATGGAATGGAATGGAATGGAATGGAATGGAATAGAATAGAATAAGAAAGTAGAATAGAATAGAAAAGCAGAGTTGGAAGGGGCCTTGGAGGTCTTCTAGTCCAACCCCCTGCTTAGGCAGGAAACCCTACACCACTTCAGACAAATGGTTATCCAACCTCTTCTTAAAAACTTCCAGTATTGGAGCATTCACAACTTCTGGAGGCAAGTAGTTCCACTAGTTCGGAATAGGCTTCTTCACCCACTTTAAGACTTCGACTGCAGATGGATATAGGTACTATTCGACAGAGAAGGTTACCAATCCTTACCAAAACTATTGTGAAAGTTTTGCTGATAGAAAACCCTTTTATTTTAAAGGCTTGCAGAAATTGGCATCTTCGCTGACTTCAAGAAGGCTCAGACCTTGGTGGGAGATTTTCAGGAATCATTCAGTGGCATGGGACTGAGATGTTGAGAAGAAGGGTGTAGCTGACGACTGCAACATCATCGCACTGATGGTGTTACCTAGTTTGGTAATGAAACGTCTGCAAGAAAACAACCAAGCTCAGAGAGCACCGAGGGCCCCACAGTCATTGCCGTCCCCGTCCTCCTCCTTTCTACAAATCTCACCACTGATGAGGTAATCTAGGCAGGTAATGAAATATCTGCAATATGTCAATGAATGAATTCAATCGTTCAGGGGAAAAGTACCTTTCAAAAAAGGTTAAATCGCGACAACTGGACCAAAGTTTTTTCATCTGAGACGTTTTGTTACTCATCCAAGTAACTTCATCAGTCAAAATTAAACAAAAAAAAAGTTGGTTCATTCCAAAGATTCTCTACCTATTTTTTTTATTTTGATCAATGAAGTTACTTGGATGAGCAACAAAACGTCTCAGATTAACAAACTTTGGTCCAGTTGTCATGATTTAACCAAGCTGAGAGAGTAACAAGGATCCCACAGTCCTCCCCCTCCTCTTCTTCCTTTCTACAAACCCCACTCTCGCCTAGCACTGATGATGTTGCCTAGTTCGGTAATGAAATGTCTATAAGGAAACAACCAAACTCAGAGAGAGCCAAGGACTCGCCCCAGATTTCGATATGTCACTAATATTTGGAACGATCTGTGGGACCTGAACTGAAGAAAATCTTTGTATCTGCCCAGCTCAGATCACCACAAGTAATTGGCCCCTGCCTGCCACCAAAAAAACATCAGAAAACAAACCTAGTTCGTAAAGGGATGAGGTGCCACCAGGAAATTGAGAAAAAAAGCCATCCTGGCATAAGGCAATTTCCAAGCACTTACTTTGAGCTAGTTTGGTCTAATGGTTAGGGCATTAGAAGCAGAAGCACCACGGAAGATGGTGAGTTCTAGTTTCACATTAGGCACGAAGGCCGGCTGGGTGACTTTGGGCCAATCACCAGGAGACGGTGAGTTCTAGTCCTGCTTTAGGCATAAAAGCTGGTTAGGTGACTTTGGGCCAATCACCAGAGACAGTGAGTTCCAGTCACGCCTTAGGCATGAAAGCCAACTGGGTGACTATGGGCCAATCACCAGGAGACGGTGAGTTCTAGTCCCGCCTTAGGCATGAAAGCCAACTGGGTGACTTTGGGCCAATCACCAGGAGACGGTGAGTTCTAGTCCCGCCTTAGGCATGAAAGCCAACTGGGTGACTTCAGGCAATCACCAGGGGGCAGTGAGTTCTAGTTCTGCCTTAGGTATGAAAACCAGCTAGTTTACTTTATGGCACTCTCTATCAGCCTAACCCACCTCGCAGGATTGTTGTGGGGAAAAGAAGAGGAGGAAGGAGTATCAGGTATATTCACCCCCTTGAATCATTTATAAAAATAATAACGGTGGGAGAAATAAACGTGTATTAAATAAATAAAGATGCTGTTGCAGAGAAATCTTGTAAGAACACGGGCAGGGAAAATCACCAGGCGTCCGCCAGATGGCAGCAGCACCTCAGAGATTTCGGCCGACGTTGGATAAAGTCAACCAGGTTAGGTCCCATGTGAGACCATCAAAGGTTGTGAGTTGAATGGAGAAGTCCAGAAACAGAGTCTGGAAGAAGGCCAGGACCGACCTCTTCTGTTATCGTTGTCAAGAAGAACAAACATTGACATATTCACCAGGTGGCAAGCTGGTATCTCTAGCTAGTTTAGAAACTGTCTCCTTCATCCTCTTCAGGAAATTCACCTGCAGATGGATACGGAAGAGAACCACAGAATCCTAGAGCTGGAAGGGACCTTGGAGGTCATCTAGTCCAACCCCCTGCCCGAGCCAGGAGACATTATATCATTCATCCCCCAGACGAATGGTTCTGCAGTCTTTCCTCGAAAACCTCCAGTGACGAAAGCACCCACAATTCCTGTTTCAATAATTAATCACTGTTGCTGTCAATAAATTTCTGCTTAGTTCTAGGTGTGGATCTCTCTTTAATGATCTTTTTCACCCATTATTACTACTTCTCGCCTTTTACTCGAGTGCCTCGGAGAATCGTTAGAACAATTAACCGGCGGAACAACTTGCCACCAGAAGTTGTGAATGCTCCAACACTGGAAGGTTTTAAGAAGAATTTGGATAACCATTTGTCTGAAGTGGTGTAGGGTTTCCTGCCTAAGCAGGGGGTTGGACTAGAAGACCTCCAAGGGTCCCTTCCCACTCTGTTATTCTATTCTGTTTATAGGTCAACCATTTCTTCTCTGTGACAGCTCTTCAAATACTGGAAGATGACTATCATCTCACCCCTAGTCCTTCCGTTTGATAGGACAGACATACCAAATTCCTGCAACCATTCTTCATATATTTTACCCTCCAGAGTCCCCCCTGATCGTCTTTGTTACTCGTTTCTCTGTTTTCAAGAAAGATTCCTTCTATTCTTAATTGGTGCAAAATAGAACTGACTCTCTGCTTCTCACCATCCCATGACAAAAACGGAGATCCTTTAAAGCTGATTTTGTATAAAAAAGAACACCGCTTGGGGGGGTGGGGGGCGAAAGCCCCTCTAAGCAGGTATAATACAAAAGTACGAAGGCAATTGCTTAACGCATTGTAAGCCGCCCTGAGTCTCCGGAAAGGGCGGCATATAAATCAAACCAATAAATAAATAAATAATAAATAAATAAATAAATAAATAAATAAATAAATAAATAAATAAATAAATAAGGAAGGAAGGAAGGAAGGAAGGAAGGAAGGAAGGAAAGAAAGAAAGAAAGAAAGAAAGAAAGAAAGAAAGAAAGAAAGAAAGAAAGAAAGAAAAGAAAGAAAGAAAGAAAGAAAGAAAGAAAGAA